CCTACACTTTATATCACTAGGGCACTTTTAGAGGTTAATAATGTGGGTTTTAATTTGTTTTATTTTTTCATTAGTGATAATATAAAAAAAATCTTATACCTTTTTGTTACAATAGACAAATCAAGTTGTGTTATTTTAAAAAATGATCTAGAACCTATAAAGCATTTATACATGAAGGGAATAATTTCATGAAATCTACACAAGTAAAAGGAGAAATATAATATTTATTTTCATAGAAAACATTTTCATGAACACTACACATGTGCAAGTGACTAAGGTCAGTTGCAGTCGAGGTTTGAACCCATGATCTTCCGATCACAGTAAGCGCTCAATTGACTTCGCTACTGTGACGGTTTTACCCTAAGACGTCGGGTTTTCTAAACTTGAATTTTTTGCGTAGTTTCCATCTAAGCACCCATCACTTGTTTTGAGACATCCAGCATAATTTTTAAAAGTCCTTTTTAACATTTACTACTGAATGTACTTCAACTAAGATTTACCGGTATGTAAGAATACATTTCCTTTCGTCTAAAACGTTCTACTTCTAAGGAAAAAAAAAACACAAACTGGATCATGCTGAGCAACTCCTTGATCAGATTCAGTATACATTGTTTACATGGTAGGAAGATAAAGAACCCATCCAGGATATGCGAATAAAATTTAAATTATACTTTACATTATTATGGAAAAAATGTGAATTTCGCCAGCACAATGCACCCACACCACAGGCATTTGTTGCGGAAAAATTAACCCTTAGTATAATAATAACACTTGTAACATTATAAACTATGAGTTTTATATTTTATTCTAATGGCCGAAGACCAGAAGAGCTTATGCGATAGTAACATCTCTGTCATCCGTGCGTCTGTCTTGCTGTAAAGAATGTTTAAAATGCTACTCCTCCTACAGTTTTTTCTGAATTAATTTTAACTTGGCTCACAAGTAGACTACACTGAGATACAAATTTCTGTGTACATGTATCGGTTTTGATTTCGATGAACGGTGTTACTATGGTTACTAAAATTACAAATTTGTTTGAAATATCTTCAAAATGCTACCCCCCTACAGTTTTTGTCTGAATTTAATATATACTGACACACAAAAGAAACGCAACAAGCAGTAATCTACAAATGTTTGATTTTTTTTTTATCTTCTTGCTTTCAAAAGCGAATAAAGAAGGCTAAACTCACTTTTTAGAACATCGGAGATTTGAAAAAAATGTTAAATGTTTATCTGTTTACTTTACTAAGTAAAATATGACTGTTAAAACACCCCATCCCAGCCATTCAAGTAAAACGTGCAAGACTGCCTTAAACAACAATTGCAGCTTAATTTCTACGATACAATAGGTTCATTAATATCGAGACCTGAGCGATGGAAGAATTCATTGGCATTTTAAAATGCCCGTTTGTCAGATGATTATGTCGAATTTTCTCTAACTTAGAGCAGTGTAGCCACTCTTGGACTTCCAGTACAAGGATTGTCCTTAATGCATATGATACGTAAGACCCTGTTGAGGCCTAATGTAGTGAAATTTCGCACCAGCAACTCTCCATCATCTTTACATTGAAATTTTACAGCTAGAGCTATGGAAATGCATACATAAGCCATTTTCAAGTAGCCTTAGCATCGTTACGGGAAACGAAAGGAGAGTTTAGTTTTTGAAATATTGTCGCATTACTTATGATGAACAGTAAAACACCTTTAAAACTCCATAATATTGCCAAATGTTTTGTTAAACAAGCGATTTTGATTTCTGTTAAGCAGACTCAAACTTGACTTCCGGTTCCGGTATGGAAATCGTTCAACCGTTAAATTACCGATGTTTTCCAAATTGAAGATATTCATAATTTTAAGATACAAAATTCTTTACTTAACATAATTATTTCCCCCTAAAGTAGGGTGTTGCGTTTCTTTTGCGTGTCAGTATAACTTAGCACACGAGTAGACTACACAAGGATACGCATTTCTTTTCATAGGTTTTTGATTTCGATGAAAGGTGTTGCTATGATTACTAAACATATAAATTTCTTTGAAATATTTTCAAAATGCATCTTGTCTGATATCAAAAAACCTTGACAAGAAAATGACTAAAACACTGATCTTTTTTTATTTTCTCCTGTAACAAGTGTTGCAAAGTTTCAAGTTCAGTTACTACTTTCTCCTGCCTTCATTATAAGTATATAACAGTAGAGCTCCAGTCTCGTCAGAGACTTCTTGTATGCTTACTGAAACAAATGCCTGTGATCCACAGTGCGAAATACTTTTGAAGAATATTAGAAGGGAGTCATTGGATATTTCAAAAGTCAGGGCCCGTATCATGGTGTGCAATGTCATGCTAAAGAACATCTTTGCTTCGGTTATAATCGCAAAGCATAGGTCAAATTTTGTGACATTCACCCAAAGCAAGTGACCCCGCTGTAGAAGTGAAAAATTAACATAAAATCAGATTAATAAAATGCGATAATTAGTGATTACAATAAATCGTGTAAACTAAAGTTCGATTTATTTTATATTGTTTAACCGATTAACCACCACCTACATTGTATATCACGATGTTAATTAGGTATGTTGGTTTTGTTTAGCGCTATTTTTCATTTCATTTAGTGATAATGCAAAAAAAATTTAACCCGTTTTTGTTACATAAGACCAATCAACTTGTGTTATGTAATAATCCTCTTTAATTTGTATTCAAGTTTTAATGGCCTAAATATCATCAGTATTCAATTTGAGTAAAATGCGTCCAAAATGTAGCCAAGAATCAGAAGCTAGGTGCAAAGTTCTATTTTTGGGTTTGTGTCAAACAACTACAATTAAACAGCATTGCTTATTCGGGAATATGCACGTATATCAGGGATGGGGTCAATTACTTTCAAAAGTAATCGATTAAATTACAATTAATTTGGATTTTAAAAGTAATCAATTACAAACTGATTACAGGTATTTTTATGCCCCCCTTCGAAGAAGGGAGGGCATATTGCTTTGCTGCTGTCCGTCGGTCTGTCGGTCGGTCTGTCGGTCGGTCGGTCTGTCGGTCCATTTAGTTTCCGTTCATTTTCTTTACAACCGCTGCATATACTGAAATGAAATTTGGTATACAGGTTTATCAGGTAAATATCTAGGTCAAGTTCTGTTTTGGGTACGATCACACCATTTTTGACAGAGTTATGCCCCTTGGACTTAGAAAAATTCCATTTATTTGCAGTTTCCGTTCATTTTCTTTGCAGAGGTTGCACATATTGAAATGAAATTTAGCATACAGATGTTTCAGCTGAATATCTAGGTCGAGTTCTGTTTTGGGTTTGATCGCACCTTTTTTGATAGAGTTATGCCCCTTGGACTTATAAAAATTCCACTTATTTGCCGTTTCCATTCATTTTCTTTGCAGAGGTTGCACATATTCAAATGAAATTTAGTATACGGATGTTTCAGCTGAATATCTAGGACAAGTTCTGTTTTGGGTTCGATCACAACCTTTTTGTCAGAGTTATGCCCCTTTGACTTAGAAAAATTCCAATTATTTGTAGTTTCCGTTCATTTTCTTTGCAGAGGTTGCACATAATGAAATAAAATTTAGTACCCGGTATACAGATTTTTCAGCTGAATATCTAAGTCAAGTTTTGTTTTGGGTACGATTGCACCATTTTAGACAGAGTTATGCACTTTTGGACTTAGGAAAAATCCAATTGGGGGGAGGGGGGCATAAGTGTTTTACAAACATCTCTTGTTTTTTAAAGTAATCAATTACATCTTATTACTTTTACTTCATGTAATCATGATTACTTATGATTACTTTAGATTACATGGATTTTAAAAATTTTTTTAATGTTCAAGGACAACAGAATGTTTTTATTCAATCCTATCTTTTTAAATATCATTTATATTCAGTGATATTTTAAAGGTAGAATCCAGACAAAGTTTGGTGGTACATTTCTTTACAATTATAAATGTAGATGCATAAGATTTATAAAGTTCATGTTTTCTATCTTTAATACAAGTAATTATCTGTGTTATTGTTGAGATAGAAATAAGAAAAAATTATTTATCAAATTGGATATAATTATAGCTATGCATAAAAGGATTCAATAATGAATTGTTACACAAGTAATTGACCCTCTTGATGAGTGATGAGCTTTTCAATTGAGCTGCCAATTACTAGATGATTTTACAAGAATTAAACCATTGACTGGGCAAGCATTGATAATTCAATAATTGTTATAACCCAAGCTGATCTAATTTTAGTATACTGGTTTTTTATCACTAATTAATTCACATATCTTTTTATGTACGCTGAAAATCAAACAAAGTGATTTTTAGAATACACATCTCAATAAAGAAATATTTGATATTAAAAAAACACACACACATTTATTCAAAAATATTTTTATAGGGAAAACAAAATGTTGCATTTCACGCATGTTAATTGATTGAAACAAAAAAATCAATCTTTAAAATGATCCTGTAGTAATTTTCTTCTAGTTTCATTATACATATATCAATTCAAAATTTCTAAGCTGCTAAAGTATTTTGAAATTACTACTGAATATAGCTAGGAACTGATAAAATTTACTCATTTTCTGGACTATGGACCTGATTATAAGCATTTCTGGAAGCATTAGAAGAAGAAACCTAACTTAAAATAGCTTATAATTTTATAATAAATTTTGCTCCTTGAATATCATCAAGAATCATAATTTCATGGACTTTGTTTTAATAATTGTAATCATAAAGTAATCAAAAAGTAATCATGATTACAGGACTTTTTTCATAGTAATCGATTAAATTACGATTACTTGTAATCAGAAAAATGTATGATTACTTGACAAACTGTAATCGATTACAGCTGATTATGATTACTCATTACGATTACCCCATCTCTGACGTATATGTACTAGTTATATAGATATATATTACAAACATGTACCATTATGGAAGCTCAATCTGCATTGTTATGTATCGCTTTGCTTCTCACCTACAACCTAACATTGGCACAATTCCAGAATTCGGGACCAGTGACGTCAGAAGATGACGTGAATGCCTCCATTGTAAGCGTCAAAGAACGAGCACATCACCTAAATCGAATGGAGTCAGAAAGTGAACTGCAGAAAATGGCTGAAGGTCAAAGAGTAAAAGGACAGCGAAGTGTAATAAAATTTTCTTTCAGATTCATCCTAAATCTGTTTCTTGTTGCACCTTGATAGAGAAACACTTGACATAGATGAGTCAAAGTGAATTTAATCTGACTTTATAGATAGGATTTATTTTCCTTTTTAAAAATGCATGTCAATGCACGATTAACTTTTTGCCAATTTACTAATCATTCCAGCGAGATATATTTTTGCCTTAAATTTTGATTTTAAAAACATTTTTGTTGATATTAATACGGTTTTGTCATAAATATGATAAGGACATGAACACTGTCTACTGCATACCACAAATTCTCCTTTGATTTCCCTTTTTTTGTTTAAGTGTATTTAATTATAATAAGTTAATGGATGACCATTAAAATGCATACATTTCATATTTGATTAAAGTTTATTTTTGTTACTATACAATGGTGAATAAATAATTGCAGTGTAAACCGACGGAAATGAATACGTATTTATAAAAATATGCTTTATGTATAATATTTATTAAATGCTTTATGCTTTAAATTGCCTAACTTTATATACCATGCATAGAGATATTTTGAGAATTTGTCAATGAATTTCTTCTGATAGGAACTGCGCGTCTCTGTTTTATAAAATGCTTTCTCTTACTGAGTTATAACATTTTTTGTAAGTGGAAGACTTGACTTATTGACCTTGGAATTAATTTTAAAAATGATTTCAATGCTAGTTTGTTTGGATGTTTGTTGTTTGACGTTTATTTGTATGTTTTAGCCAAATGAGAAAGGTGATCCCGATGACGAATCAAATTCGTCTGGAAGTTGTTATGTTTCGGTAGGTAATAAAGCAAGTAAATTACTGAAGAAATAAAAAGAAAAAAGAACTTAATAATCATCTGAAATTGTTACTTCTTCATTACCTTGCTAAATAAACAAAATCCAAAGACTATGGTTAGTTGAATTGGGAATGGAAGCGGAGAAATGCATTCAAAAGACAAAAAGAATTAAGCTCACAAATACCTTTATGTGAATCACCTTTTCATGATACATGTACGAATTTATTTGGATTTAGTTGGATTCTGAGGAGAAAGAATGGATTGTGGTCAGCTCCACGTCAGAGTATCATCCAATTCACAGAATGTTGACCAAGAATCCAACTTTAGTCAACGTGAAGGTTGGTGTTATGGTGTTATGAAGGGGAAATATCATTAACTAGTTGATTTAAAGCTTTGAAGAGAATGCAGCCTTATTATTTCTTACTTATATGTATGTCGACAGAAAAAAGTCATTTGGAGTTGTTTTATCCTAGTTTATTTGTGTTTGAATTTAATGAAAAACATGAATGTTTTTTTCAAGATTTGTTTGTATTTTTATAATTTAAGGAAAAGTCATTTGAAGGTGTTTTATCATGATCTATATGTATTTAGATTTTTCATTGGAAAAGTAATTTGAAGTTTATTCATCATGGTGAATGTGTTTTTTTTTTCAGGAATTTACAAGTGTAAGTATTTCTTTCTCCTTTTTTGTTTGTAATATCCTATTCCAAAATAATTGCTTACAGTTCAATAAAATTAAAATGTATTTACATTACAAGACTTTTGCATAATTTTTTTTTTTTGATTTTTATTTTCATGTATTGTTATCCAGGGCGTAAGTATATCATTCATATATGAAGATATTCTATTGAAATTGTGTAACTGATAGAGTTTTATTTCGTCAAAGAAAATAGAATTATAATAGAGCTTTAATAATCTTTTATTCTTTCTTCTTTTTTTATATCTTCCACCATTTTTTGGAACATCTGGGATATAGTATGTAAGTAACTATGTACAGTTTTGTTTTATTTTGTTGTATGACTATTAAGAAATGAATTGGTTAAAATCAAACAATGGCATGTTAAATATTTAATTTTTTTAATGTAACGTTTTATTTTTTTGGAAAACGAAGAGAGTTAAGACTACATTCTTTGGAAAATAACGTGTTTTTCACCAAAGGAATCAATGAAAAAGGAACATTTATTCAATATCATCTCATACAACCCACCCTAACCCCCTGAGAGTTAAACAAGTGTCTACATCCTCTAATATTTTTAAAGTTTGTGTTGTTTAAAGGCTTGATTTGATTCATATACATGTATGTAATTTTCCCCATGCATATTTTAATATCAAAAAGAAATAAAACATGTATATAACATGCTTTTCCTCATTTTTGTCATTTGTTTTAACTAATTTATTTCCTTAATCACAAAAAGCTAATTAACTATAAATATACTATGTTAGGTGGTGTACATCGAAGTCCAGCCACTAAAACTACGTTTCAAGAAGGAATTTATTTATTCCATTAAAAATTGATATTTTGAATTATTTAAATAAAGATTACTAAAAATTCTTACATTTATCGTTTTTGCTAAAACAGACTGCATTACATTGGGCAGCAAAGCATGGAAAACCCGAGGTGATAAAATTATTGGCTAGTCAACGTGGAGTGGACGTCAATAAGAGAACGGTAATTGAATAGATTCATATTCATTTAATTTGTACTGTAACTCAATTTTTAAAATTTATATTTGATTTGTTTTTGTCATTGCATTAAAATATTAATAAAATATATTTTCTTTTTTACGCTTTCTACAGAATGTAAGTATCACTTAGAAGATGTATACCTTTTTTGACAAAGGACACTAGAAATCATTATTTCAGTAAAATCAAAGTAAGAAAGCTTCATTTATTTATGAAGTAGAATTTTTAAATGTGATCAAAAGTATACGATATGTGTTATTCACATCGTGAAATTCAGTCACTTTCAATTGGAATTAGTTCATTTGGAAGACATGTAGATTTTCATATGTACATGCAATTAAATACAACGATATTGAACAATAACAATTGGGAAACGAGGGGGCATTCATGTCTTATTATTAACTTATTAGCATTATTACATATTGTTTAGGATGTGGGCTTGATAATGTTTTCAGTCACTCTGTTAAAATTCAAGAAAAATGCTGAATCAATTCAGAATTAATTGTGGATTTCTAATGGAAAAATATCGTTCAACAGATTTAAAAAAAATCTGTCAAGATATTTTATCTTTGTGAACTGTAATTTAAAATAGTACTTTTAAAAAAAGATATGATACAATGTTCCATGCCTTCTAATTTTATTTTAAAATGTTTCATTATTATTTATCCTTAAATATGATTTTTTTTTCTTTTCATAAAATGCGGAAAAAATAAATAGGGGGTAAGTAAACTTACAAGCTTTTTCAAGTCCAGATTTTATTATGAAGTAGTATTTACCTCAACTTATATGAGCCATCCTCTTAAAACAGGGTTACACTGCATTACATCTTGCTGCCATGCATGGACATGAGGACATAATAGAACTTCTAGTCTCAACGTACAGTAAGTTTTTGCTCACAGATGTTTGCACTTTTCCTTCAGTTAAAATGCACAAATATAACATAATGTTTCAAAATCATTTAGAGGTAAACCCAGAGATAAATTCTTTAGAAAAAAAACGTTTTTAAAACTGTATATGTATGACTGACAATAATAATACAGGTACTTTATAATGATTCATCTAGCAAATTTTCGAGTTTTGGTTAAGAAATCAAAAAAAGAAATACTGGGAAAACATTCCTTTTTAGTATTTCACAGGAAGCATTTATTTCAGAAAACAAAATGCTATTTGAAAGCAGAATTTTTAAAGGGAGATCTGCAGAATGAGGAATAGATAAAGGTTGCATGCGTAGGTGTGCAAAACAAAGTAAAGATCAAAAGGCACTGAACTGCATAGATAAAATAAACATAATAAATTGCACTTTAGCAGTGGCTTAACAAGGATTTAAGCATCGCTTGACTTCATCGGAGAAGCATTTTGTATTGTTTTCCTAGACTTTATTTAACAACCAACCTACACTTTACCTGTTGAAATTCACGTATTCATTTTAAGAGACGATGCTCTAACAGCAAATTCAGCCTTCGCTTTATAAATATACTGTTGAAATAATTTTACGATTTTGACAGAGCATAAAACAGAGACAGAAGAGACATAAAAGCTGGTTATATTTTTTTTTAGAAGCTGATGCCAATCTCCGTGATTACAGTGGAAAGAAAGCAAAACAGTATTTAAGAAATACTGCCTCTACTAAAGCTCAACGTAAGCATTTAGCCTCTCTTTCGTCCTACTCTGATACTGTTGATAGCGGTTCTTTTACAGCCTGTCCGGAAGTCCAGAAAGCGGCATTACGAAACTCTCTAAATATAAACGTCTCCGGAAAAGATAGAACGTCCTTAAGAAACTCTCTTCAAATCGTTCATTTGTCCATGAACGAGACAGCGGAAGGTGCTAGTTATACTTGATGACTTGTATTAAATTAAAATTGCTTACATGTTTAATATGTTTTTAAGAAAAAGTTGATATTTCCATTATTGTGATAGTAAGTTAGGATTGTCGTATTTTTGTTTTGTGGTTGTGTATTATTTATGTCCCCTAATTTATTGCTTAGAGTGCACAAAAGGGATGTTTTTTCAAAATATTTTTGTCCACTGTTATTAATTTATACAGGTTTATTTGGAAATGACATTAATGTAATCGCAATGGGAGGTAGGTCTCAGAGCATTTTGATCAAGTTTTCTATGTGTACATAAATGTATGAAGCAATGGTCTTTGGAATTGAACCATGTTAGCTTAGAACACATAATCAGGTTTGGCATTTGATATTGAAAATTACTAATCTGTAGTCTAGAGAACTCTGCAACTAGCAGCACTTTGTCAGCATGGCTTTTTCCCTTTATTTTTTGGTTTCCGTTTTCTCTTATGTTAATCAGATTTAGAGACTTTTCATTAAAATATTTTTGTTTAAAAAAAGGGAGATGAATTGCTAACTTGCAGAAATGGGTTTTTTTCCTCTGATAAGAATTTTAATTAATTTTGTTTCATGATTCTATTGAATTGTTGAAGAAGTTATCTAACTGTCTTTGTTCTATCTTAAGATAAATTTATTTGAAGTATTAAATAAATATAAAAACAAGAGGCCCATGGGCCACATCGCTCACCTGAGCACTAAGGGTAGGAAAAAGTACAAAATAGCTTTGTATTGTAAAGTTTAAATCCAAAAGTAGTCCCATGACCAGTCATGGATTTGCTATTTTTTAGAAAATGATTGTTAAAGAATTTTCCTATATATATCTTTAAAAACTTTGGCCGGCCATTTTGGCCCTGCCCTACCCCTGGGGGTCATGATTTGAAAAAAATTGAATCTACACTACTTGAGCATGCTTCCATATAAATATGATGAATTATGGATTTAACATTTTTGATAAGATTATTTTTAAAGAATTTTCCTATATATTTCTATGTTAAACTTTGGTCGGCCATTTTGGCCCCGCCCTACCCCCGGGGGTCAGGATTTGAACAAACTTGAATCTAAACTACCTGAGCATGCTTCCATATAAATATGATGAATTATGGCTTTGTCATTCTTGAGAAGAAGATTTTTAAAGAATTTTCCTATATATTTCTATATAAAAACTTGGTCGGCCATTTTGGCCCCGCCCTACCCCTGGGGGTCATGATTTGATCAAACTTGAATCTACACTACCTGAGCATGCTTCCATATAAATATGATGAATTATGGCTTTGTCATTCTTAAGAAGAAGATTTTTAAAGAATTTTCCTATATATTTTTATGTAAAACTTTGGTCGGCCATTTTGGCCCCGCCCTACCCCCGGGGGTCAGGATTTGAACAAACTTGAATCTAAACTACCTGAGCATGCTTCCATATAAATATGATGAATTATGGCTTTGTCATTCTTGAGAAGAAGATTTTTAAAGAATTTTCCTATATATTTCTATATAAAAACTTGGTCGGCCATTTTGGCCCCGCCCTACCCCTGGGGGTCATGATTTGATCAAACTTGAATCTACACTACCTGAGCATGCTTCCATATAAATATGATGAATTATGGCTTTGTCATTCTTAAGAAGAAGATTTTAAAGAATTTTCCTATATATTTTTATGTAAAACTTTGGTCGGCCATTTTGGCCCCGCCCTACCCCCGGGGGTCATGATTTGAACAAACTTGAATCTACACTACCTGAGCATGCTTCCATATAAATACGATGAATTATGGCTTTGACATTCTTGAGAAGAAGATTTTTAAAGAATTTTCCTATATATTTCTATGTTAAACTTTGGTCGGCCATTTTGGCCCCGCCCTACCCCCGGGGGTCATGATTTGAACAAACTTGAATCTACACTACCTGAGGATGTTTCCCCATAAGTTTCATCTTTCCTGGCACAGTGGTTCTTGAGAAGAAGATTTTTTAAATATGCCACCATATTTTCTTTAATTCCCAATTATCTCCCCTTGAATGAGGGCGTGGCCCTTCATTTGAACAAACCTGAATCCCCTTTACCCAAGGATACTTTGTGGCAAGTTTGGTTGAAATTGGCCTAGCGGTTCTTGAGAAGAAGTCGAAAATGTGAAAAGTTTACAGACAGACGGACAGACGGACAGACAGACAGACAGACGGACAGACAGACGGACGCCGGACAAAATGTGATCAGAAAAGCTCACTTGAGCTTTCAGCTCAGGTGAGCTAACAAGCTTAAAATTTTTCTGCGAATTTTTACGAACATACTCGTTTTCATTTTGAGCCTTAAAAAGTAAATTTTTTAGGCAACCACCAAAATCGAAATTCTAGTTTTAAAAGAAGTTAAATTTCCAACTTATATAAAAACAGAAATATTATAAACTTTCCATACCATGTTGTTTTTCTGATTTGATTTTATACTGTAAATCACAAAATTTTCGTGACACCTTATTTTTGCTATGTCATTATTTTATAAATGTTTTTATTTTTGTGAGGCGTTTGCATTCCGTAATTTTGCGAAAATAAAGTTTTCGCAAATAAAAAGTGATTTTCAGTATTAAATTTATTTATCTTGATGTTCAGTTAATGATATTTTTTTGCATTTTTTATATATATATATATATATATATATATATATATATATATATATATATATATATATATATATATATTTTAAATTTTTTGTATACATATGTGCATAAGATTTCATAATTTTATTAGGGGGTATCTGTAAAGGACGAATTTATAGAAAGAGATGTTTGTAGAATTGAAAAAATAATCTTTTTCATACATCCGTCTGAAGACGGGATGTACTAACTATGTGGCACTCCAGTCCGTCCGTCTTTTTTTTTTTTTCTCTGGTCGTCCTTGCCATACGTTAGCCTAACTAAAAAGCTAAATTCTATGAGTCCTGTGTTAACCTTGTTGTTAACTTTGTTCAGCTTAAATACATCTCAGGTAGAAGGTACATTGCACTAAGGGATAAACTTGTACATAAATTGGAAAAATCATTGAGATCTTTGTACTTAAGTTGATATTATCACTATGAAAAATTCATTTGTTTGAGATGAACAATATTTGACTAGTTAATCATGTAGTGTGGTGTGTACTTTAATAGAAATTGTTATAAAGAAAGCTTAGCCTATCTAGTGTGGAATCCTAAATATACTTTATAATAGTAAGGTGTTTCATTTTTAGAATTACCTTAAATACTTATCAAAAGTTGATAAAGGGCGAGTGGAGTTACTTTGAGTGATATACCGAATTACAGATATACAGCTGTACATCCTTTTTATATATCAGTACTTATTTATTTTGAAAATATAGTTGAGCTTATTTATTTCAAGATGCTTTTTCTAATGGTTCATAAATCGATCAACCTTGTGAAAATATATTTGGTCTTTTGGTTCTTGATTTAAGAAATTTTTAATTTCATTATTTCCCCTTTGCTTTGTAACGTATATGTAAACTATAAAGGGAATCTTTATCTTCATTATTTGAATATAAGTGGCACGTCTTTAATTGTGTAAGTTAGATTACGCTGCTTACTTTAAAATTGGTATTTATGTTTTGGTATTATATTAATTTTAAGTAGGCTGCAGGAATTCTGCTTTGTAAAATCAATATGCCAAAAAGAGAACAGTATAAAAACCAAAATTGCAGAGTGTGTTTGACTTCTGAAATATATATCCATTGTCTTTAAGTTTGATGGGTTAAGTTTTGAAATATGGATGATGCACGGACACTAAGAAAGATGACATTCCATTTATTATCGCTGGGTCCTTATTTGCTGTTGTAAAATATCTGATCATTGTGGACAAGGAATTTTTGATATATGAAATAAGTGTATTGTTTATTTGTTATAAACAAGAAACTGAGGAGGAATTAACTGTTGAAATAATATTTACAAGTTTGCTTGTGACTAATTATTTTTTAATTATGTAAGAAATATTTTGTTGGATTAAAAGAACAAAATATGTGGGATTACAAGATTTTTGACACGTTTATGTTAATTGTATAAGCACTAGGTTTCGCTACAAATGTTGTTACAATTGTAATTTCAATTTGTGGACATCACTTGGCATGAAAATGCTCATGATCTTTAGAAAAAATCACAGGTTTTGTTAGTTATGATGTTATTCATAATATAGAATATTAATCATCTTGACAGTTAAAAATTGGAAATTGTAGAAGATAATTTTTATAAGGAAGAATTCATAATTCATGTTACAGTTTGGTATTTTTATAAGGAAGAATTCATAATTCATGTCACAGTTTGGTATTTTTATAAGGAAGAATTCATAATTCATGTTACAGTTTGGTATGTTTTGAAAGGAATTAAAAAAAACTGTTTAATTTTTTATATTTTTTACCGGAAGAAAATTGTCAGGTACTTTACAAAAAATACTTTACTTAGTGCAATTATATTTATTTTAATGTATTACAAATCCTTTTTCGTAGGAATTAAGTAACAATTATTTATATTTCTTTTCAATATAGCTACTCTTTTGATGAAAAGAATAATTAAATTTTTTTTAAAAGTCTATATTGAGATTATAATTTGTATTGCGCTCTATCACTAGGCTCACTGTATAGGAGAGGCACAATGAGGCACAAGGATCCTTCAGAGGAGGTCTTTCTCTATTCTCTTACACTAACAGCCTGAACTCCTCAATACTAATAAGGAATGAGGCAGTTAAGGCAGAAAAAGGCATTCCCCATTTATATTTTTGTACACGATCCGTGAAAAACTGTTTTCTTTAAGTTTTTAGATAATGAATGTGTTAAGGAACAATTATTTTATGTGATTTAATGAGCTTTAGAGAATAAAAAATGTAATATTTTATTTGTTTTCAATTGAGAATTATGAAATGATGCCAAAAAATTCTTTGCTATATTAACACCTTATGTGCTTCTTGATCCCAAGCATGGTAATTTCAGTTTCTTTCATATAATGAGCTGTGGATTGCTGGATATGTTTTCCTGACCTTATGGGGTCCATGAATTACCAGTTGTTTATTTCACGTTGATGAATGAAAAATAAATATAATTGTCGTTTCGATTTCTAATCAATATTTTCTTTTTCAACACGTGAAGTAAGTATGACCAGATATTCATCAAATATATTTGTAAATGAAAGAATATCACTATTTCATTATTATTTTTTTAATGTATGTTTTGCATCGTGTTAATCATATTTTGTCGTTTTTATATGATGAGAAAACGTAATCAATTGTCATTTTCAAATTGTTTTAAATTTTGCGAGTTGACCTCGAATTAGTTTAGCTCAGGGGTTTGTTCATGTATTGATCATTTTATATCATACCAATTAACCTTCTCATTTTCAATAGTACAAAAAATTTTTTAGGAACTTAATGGTGAAACAAGCAAACGGCTTTGGGTGATTGGTCTCAAGAATAGCTATTTTTATTTAACAAAGACTATTTAAAAGCTCCTTTATGGAAGAATCATTTGAGATGAATTCATCGTTCCATTTCAATTTACATCTGTATTATTATTTTTACTGCTTTGGAGTATGTTGTGAATTTTTTTTTCTAGATGTAGGTTTAGCTTAGCATGGATGCTATTTGTTTCATATGAACTTTGTTTAATACAGGTTTTTGTGTGTGTTCACCCTTCTACGTGTGTTTATGTGCACATCATTTTCAGCCGTTTGTCACCTTGTTTTCGAAATCCTCATTAGTGCGTTGTTCTTGTTCAATTAACAGTCATCGGCCTTTGTTATTTCTTAGGTAGTTTCTAGGTTTAAAGATTTCGACATATTTTTGTTCGTTTTAAAATTTCATATTTTCATTGCAAATTGTCTTAGAAATATTTGTTTCAGATAGATTTGAGATGGCTGTGGGGATTAACATTTTGCTTTTTCATATATCGCATTTACTCAGATTCAGTTTATGATATACTGATTGGAAAGTGGAATCAGAAGAGGACTTAGTTGGAAATCATAAGATAAATGTATTTAAAGTTTTAAGTCCGACTACGATTTAAAAAAAAAAGTATTCAATGCATTTCTCAGAAGAATTCAAAGAAAGTCACTGAATGCTTAGTTTGTGCAATCTTTATGGTCAAACCGTACATGGAGCTGGTAATTGCAGTGCACGCCTCTGAAAATTCATATTTTTACCAAGCTTCTTATTTATTTCTCTTCTCCTTTCCTCAAGCTATCTCTATTGTATGTACTTCCAAAAAGCATGGCATCAATTTGTTAGTGTTTTTTTTACCTATATTATGCAAATAAAAATAGTTAAAGTTAAATTAGTGGAGAGTTATATTTAATTGATTGCACATTAAATGATATTTATGATTTATGTTAAAATAAAAGTAAAAATTGATTTATTCATGTAATTTAACATAAATATGCAACTTACCAAGGATGCAGGTAAGGAATCAATATTTTTATTTGCTAATAATACCATATGGCCATATTTAAAATTATAATTTAATAGAATAATCAGGTAAATTTCAAATATTTTACTTCCAGAATTGTTATTGTCAAGAAAATTGGGATCGTCACTAGGTAAGATGCATTGATCTTTACTTCATTAATAAGGGTTTATTTAACAAAACATACACGTATATTTACATTTGCAAATGTTTTCCTTTACATAACACTACTGAAGGCAAGCGTTTTTATAACTGTGTAAATACAGGTTTGGGGTCAAGAGGTCATAGATGTGCGTTTGGATAAACGTTCCATGTAATTTCTCTGTGACGTCATAAAGGGTCGACGCGCGTTTGGTGGATTACATACATGCCGTTGGGTTTGAAAAATTAACGCATTTCACACGTTAAAAGTAACAATCAGGCAAATACAAAGTATAAATAAGTCACAAATGTAAATATAAGTAATAAGGTATCATTTTTTGAGTTTTATTGAGATGTAAAACGGGTTGACACATGATCAAATCTTCCATAAAGCCCTTCGGGCTTTATGGGATTTGATCACGTGACCAACCCGTTTTACATCTCAATAAAACTCAAAAAATGATACCTTATTTCTTAAATAAACATCATAATTTTTTAATTAAAAAAAATCGGTCTAATGTTAATAAATGTTGAAATGATCTATCAAGAAGATCAGGATTTAAAACTGAGATAATTCCTATAGTTTTACACGATCAAGTTTCCAAAGATTTTTTATGAAAATTTTTAAGTGTTTCAAGTAATGTTTTATTGGTTTGAAAAATGTTAAGTGTTTCCAATAATGTTTGATGGGTTTGGGTCGAATGCTTTATTAATTACATGTAGAGGTAAGTCCAGCAAAGTTAGTTTAGATATTCTGGTATATTTCTTTATGTTGTAGGCCAACTAAATACATTGTACTTTCTTAAACTTTATATTTGTCATTTAATAACATGTTTCTTACAAAGAGATTAATATTTTTCTTTAACTGCCTTTAGGCTCTGTTCGATCTTTGGACGATTCTTTTACAAGGAGTGCTTCTTTTAGAAGAAGCAAACAGGTGAAAGCTATAAGTAGTCTCATCCAGGGTTCATCTTCTGGGGTCAAGGCCATGTTTAGAACCACGTGGGCAGGATCAGCTGATGATCTAATTCGTAACCGCCACTCTCGTTCTCGAAGTCCAAACTCTACCCCAACAGGTAGTGGAAAATCCTCCCCAAGTCCCCAGCGAAGGGAAACGGTAAATATGGCCAGAAACCTAATGATATAACAATCTAATTCAGACTTCTTAGATCCGCGCTGTATGCAGAGTGTATATGGCGCGGATCTAAGAAGTCTTATTTTAATTAGATATATTTACATTTGCAAATGTTTTCCTTTACATAACACTACTGAAGGCAAGCGTTTTTATAACTGTGTAAATACAGGTTTGGGGTCAAGAGGTCATAGATGTGCGTTTGGATAAACGTTCCACGTAATTTCTCTGTGACGTCATAAAGGGTCGACGCGCGTTTAGTAGATTACGTACATGCCGTTGGGTTTGAAAAATTAACGCATTTCACACGTTAAAAGTAACAATCAGGCAAATATAAAGTATGAATAAGTCACAAATGTAAATATAAGTAATAAGGTATCATTTTTTGAGTTTTATTGAGATGTAAAACGGGTTGACACATGATCAAATCTTCCATAAAGCCCTTCGGGCTTTATGGGATTTGATCACGTGACCTACCCGTTTTACATCTCAATAAAACTCAAAAAATGATACCTTATTTCTTAATTAATGATGAAACATATGGATATAAGGAACTATTTTCAAGATCAAAAGTCCGTAAAACAATGCAAGATAGGAACAAAGCAAACAGGGACCCCCAAAACATAATGATTTTTTTTTTTTGGAGTATGAAGTCTTTTTTTGAAATATTTTTTTTTCTTTTAACAGTTTGCAAGTCGGTCAGTGGACAGGGAATTAATGCCTCCCCCATCTGCACCTGTAAGGAAGAGGCGTGAAGCTCAATCAGGCAGTGATGGAAATCTCGCTACTGAAGATATGACTAGGTACCTGTTGAATACAAATAGCAAAATGAAGAAAATCTAATAAAAATGGTGCATTTGCCCCTATACAATTAAAATTGTTTAGAAGAGTTTTATTTGATATTGTCAAGTTTATCATTTAAAAAATTATGGTTTTAAAAATAGGAATGTTCGTCTAGGAGAAATCGAAGAAACAGTTGCATTTAAATAATATATGGGCATTTTAATGTTTTTTTTAAAAAAAACTTAATACATAGGCAATTTATTTTAAATGTATGATTTGCTTAATTATTTTAAAAAGTTGAAGAATGGAACATGACTTGTTTTAATACGAATTCTACATGTAAAAATGTTATTGTTTCGTGTTTCAGAACTATATCAGAACCGACTCTTAACAGTGGAAGATTACCAAAGACTTATATATGAAAACAATCTGACATCTGTTTTATCGTATAAGTATCATTTATAAGCAATATGGCATTACATATATTTTGCTTTCAACATGTTCAATACGGTTTGCAAGTTTACACGAGCATGATGACATTTTTGTTACAAAATAATTTTGATCCATATTCTGTGCAATATTGATGAAATTTTGTTAGTAAATTCGTGGATGATATAATATTTCATTATGATTAGAAACATGTGTGAATGTCTATTTTTGATATGTACATGAAATCGTTGTAAACATGTATCTATATATAAACAGTATATACAAATTCAAACATCAGCCTAGACACAGGCATTCAAAGCAAAATATTTTCATTATTTATATATTTGTCATTGTTACTTGTTAGTTTGTTTTTTACTGATTGTTGACAATAAAAATAACTATGAATAACATGATTATTATTTTATTATATAGCTGCAGAACTCTACATGTAGCTCTCCAGTTGAGAAAAATCAGACAGGTAAACCAGAGAACTACAGTATTGTAAAATCCTTAATATGATTTATGCCACCATCTTTTTTTAGGCTAACTTCGGGTGTTTATTCTTGAATTTTATGCTTTTCTTCACTGATGTCGTCCCGAAATAACTCGCTCGAGTTTCGCTTATCCCATGTCCTATTTACATAAACATTGTCAGCTTTATAGACAATATTCATGTTACTTAAACCTGGAGATCTTGATTTTTGAAATTTGTTATTTACATAACTCGTCAAGTTTATGCACTTTGATAGACTTTTTTTCGCATGACCCCCAACATGGCAATGGAATGCGGGTTTTTTAATCCGTTTAAATGAACGTAAATAAAAAGCAAATATTTAGTAATGAGAAATGCATTGATCCCGAAATTAAAACCATCGTTAAATAAACTTATAAATGATTTCTAAAGCTCAATTTATGTACATGAAATTCAAGTTTACATTTTTAAAATCACATCTGTAATCATTTCAAAACTTAAGCTCTCCAGAAAGTAGTCAAATATAAATACACCTACAAAAGGTTATTAACTTTTGAGATGTTACATGTATGTTCATTATAATTACTACAGTTAGTTCCAAAGGATAATGTAGTAAAATATAAACACCTCTTTAAAGTTATTATAATTTAACTTTTGAGGTGCATCAAATACCACAGGTAGTTCCATTCCAAAGAGATGGATACGATGAAGTTTGCAATTCAAAATCTATTTTTGAAATGCTTTACTTTACAAAAAAGTATGAGCAAGCAAAATATTTTTGCTGAAGAAGATTTTTGAACATCTTGTTTATGACATTTTAACGCACACTGTTGTTCAAAGAATTGATTTATGGAATACGTGAACTAACATGGCATTGTAGGTACGTTATGAAAGTTGAAAACTTTATTGATACAGGATAAAGTCTTATTTCGTTTTCATTTGAAAAATTTGTACAAATGATCGTTAGTTGATAAAAGTCTTATCTTGCAAATAGTACATTGTGATTTAGATCTTACGAGGGCCAAGAAGTACAAGTATAGGACTTGAAAGTTTATTGGACTCCGTATTGAAACGTATGAAATTAAAGGCCAGTGAAATTCAATAATATAAAAACACATCAAACTGAAAACTAAAACATACCAAACTGACAATCAATAATTGGAAGGCGGGGTGGGATTCAGATTTTTATTTCTTTTATTAAATTAATTAAAAGGAGATGACAATGAGAAAGAAATATATTCTTAAAATGAATCAAAATTTTAACGAAAAATATAGGTAGGATTGCCTTTTTCTACAAAATGACCGCCCCCAGTTGTTAGTGTAAGAGAATAGAGAAAAAAATTAAAACTTTCTCTGAAGGATCCTTGTGCCTCATTGTGCCACTCCTATACAGCAATCCTATATAGTGTGGAATGTCTTTTTCTGCCTTTGCTGCCTCATTCCGTATTAGTATTGAGGAGGTCAGGCTGATGGTGTAAGAGAATAGAGCAAGACCTCTGAATGATCTTTGTGCCTAATTGTGCCTCTCCTATACAGCAAGCCTAGTGATAGAGCACAATGCAAATTATAATTTCAGTAGCATGGTTGATATGTTTGGCACGCCAAATTCACAAAAATGAGATAAACCTAGTTTCACATTTGATAAACTAGGTTTATCGACTGTAAACTATAGTTTACAAACCGTAAACTATAGTTAACGATTCGTTAAGTATAGTTAACGATTCGTTAAGTATAGTTTTCATCTGTAAAACTATATTTAACGGTTGTTAACTATAGTTTACGAATGATAATCTAAGTTTATCTGTTAACAATAGATTTTGTTGATAAACATAGATTCACGTTTGTAAACTATAGTTTACAATCGTAAACTATAGTTAAGAGTTGTTAATCATAGATTCACAATTCATGAAACTATATTTATCAGATCGTTAACTATAGTTAACGGTTTGTAAACTATAGTTTACAAATCGTGAAACTGTATTTATCAGATAATCTGTTCTGCAATCGCAAATGATTGTTTTCAGTGTTAAGTATATTTTACGGTTGTGAAACATAGATTATCGCGTTAACTATGGTTTACGGATGTAAAATATAGATTAACATTGTTAACTATAGTTTACAGTCCGTAAACTATAGTTTACAACTGATATACCTAGTTTATCGACTGTAAAACTATGTTTAGCTCATTTTTGTGAATTTGGTGTGCCATAGATATGCACATTAAAAATTGATGTTTACCATCAAAGGGGTGGCCATATGAAATGAAATACAGTACCCGCATCGTTATTCTTTACAGGATACACGATACGATAGGATACACGCACGATACGATAGGATACACGCACGATAGGACAGGATACACGCACGATAGGATAAACGCAAAACACGATAAACGCAAAACACGATACACGCAAAACACGATAAACGCAAAACACGATAGACCTGATAAACGATCTTCACGATAGGATAAACGCAAAACCTGATAAGATTGTTTCAAAATGCGGAACGTTTTTTGACAAGACGAAAAGATTATTTTGTTTAGTTTCCGCAATATTTTAATCTAAATACTTGCAAAGCTTCAAATCTAAACTATAAAGTGAATTTAATTATTATAAAAAGAACTTGAGATCTCTGTGGTAATTTTACAAAAGTTGTTTATTTATATAAACAAAAATTGACAGTGATTAAAGGGATTATTATGAAATGGAGACTGTATTTTTTTTTTTTTATTTCTTCTCAAGGGTGTGAATTTTGAAAATCTATAAATAGATTTATTATTTATGAAAAAATATACATATTAATTTTCTATCTAATGAATTTATCTACCAGTACCAAGTTATTTCAGGGAAGGAATTTACGCAATAAATTAAATATTTGTATTTAATGTTTAAAGCTTACAATCTGCGATGTATCCAAAATCGCAATAAAATATTAAAATATCTTAGAAAAAAAAATACAAGTAGAAGACCGGCCGAAAGAAAGGTTCCAAGAAATCGGCTTTAACAAAATAGATTTAACATAATAGATCTATCAAGAATTAAACAGTTCAAGAAAATTAATTCCCTGAATAGAAATCTAAATAATTGTTTAAATAATGGCGCTCTGCATTAATACATGTAAACTGTGTCATGAGAATATGAATCTGCTACAACTGCATATGTACATGTACGTTTACACTAAGCTAGGGCTTATGTTTATTTAAACATTTATATATCGGATACTTAAAACCTCGTATTTATTAATGAATATTGAATGGTTAAATACTTTTTTCTTTACAACACAAAACAGAAAAATTAATTAACAAATATTCAAAGAGTGAAATGCAACTTTTCCGACTAAATAATTATAAATCATTGCTATTAAACTCTGTATGTACTGTTTCTAATAATAACAAAAAATAGGTTTAATTCGGCAAATGAATTATTAAACCTTAAAAATCGTTTTAGACTGACCCGGTAATCTCATTTGAGGCATATTTGAAGGGCGGGACTTTGAAAGTCCGTAACCAATTTAAAATGAGATAAACAAGATCTAACCAAATAGCCAAATATAATATTAAATTCTTAAATAAAGTAATATACGTAAGGAATTAATCGATTAATACTATTAATTGATTTGGTGTAATTATTATAGTCTTGCATGGTAACGGCGGAATCAGACGACTTCTTTTGTTTTATTTTTATAGTAAGATACCGTAAAAAAAAATAATGCGAGCTAATTTTCATAGTTTACAATGTTAGAACTATTTCATCCGTTTCTACGATCAATGAAATTGTTTCCTAGAATTAATTTTGTCCGTATTACGTAGAAAACCCGATGATCCGAAAGTGCATGTACCATAAGTGCAGTATTTCTTTTTAAAGTTTTATTAAAAGACTAATTTACATAAACATGATGGAAACATTGTACGAAATGAAAGAAATCTGCGGATTGAGTTTAGGGAGTTCATTTCATTAAATTGATTTATTTGAATTTTTATTTAACATTCAAGCGATGAGATGATTTTTTTAATCCATTAATTGTACAATTATTTAATATATTTTGAATTAAATCTTTGATAAGTTTTTTCAAACAAGTTAGGAACAAAATCCCGAAAATAAGTAGATGCGTTTCATTAGAACCAATAATATTCGAGGTTACTAATTGACCCCAGGTGAGAAATCAGTACAGGTATGTTGACGGTGGTCACACACACGGGCCGAGGTGTCAGTTAGGGGAGAAGGGGGAGAGGGTGGTTGACCGCACAGGAAGGTGAGCTAATTAGAGAGCTACACATACGTGTCAGTTTTCTGGTAAGGAAAGGTCTTCGATTTATTTTGATTTTTGACATCCCGATGGATTATATTTTCAGTTTATTTCCACGTCGAAAAGGTAAGCTTTAAAAAAACATCATGTTTTTCCCTGTATATATTATTTTTAGATTATCTAACGCCAGATAAAATTAAAGAAAAACTTCTATTTTATAGTAACAACCAAGGTGTAATAAATATGGTAGAATATTTTCATGCATTACATTTTTTAATTTTGATTTTTTTAAAATTTAGACATTCATCAAGGAATTTATAAGTAGCTAACTAAAAAGTGATAAAAAAAAATTAAAAAATTGAACGCATACTGCCAACATCGATGTTAAAATCATCTTGATCAATGTCTTATGCTTTATTATTTTTGTAACATAAAGACTTTAAATAATTATGCACACATGCAGATCAGAAGCGTAAACATATAACTAATATAATCAGACGATAAACAAGGAAAAAAAGAATATATATTTTTAAAAAAAGATACATATCAGTCCCCTGCTTATTATTTATTTATTTGCTTTTTGAGTATGCATACACCCAGGGACCTATATACACCGTAGCTTACAAAAATTCTTTCTCAAGTTACTCTGATTTATTTAAGAAAATCATATTGATAATATTTAATTTTGACAAA